CCAAAAAAAGAAATCACCCTAATTAAGAAGATAGAAGTACTCAAGTACCAAGTCTCAGATTATCCCCATCAATTAAAGAACAGATCACAGGAAGGAATTTTCTCCTTGATCTTAGCTCATTATTAAATAGCACCTTTTGACCTAACTTCTAATCTAGTCATCTTGTACTCCACAGCTAAACACAGTATGAATATACTTTCAGCAACAATACTTTTAGGCAGCAATTTAAAACAAAATGTCATCTGCATGTGAAAAATTCAAAGCAGGATATTTCACTTCCTTTTTAATTATATCACATTCTATTTCATAGGATAAGTATTTTTTTACACTTAGAAGTAGTTTGTGACTCTTTTCTAGCTTATGCCAGAAATGGCTCATATAACCTCTATTCTGCCTTTATGGTCTTCTTCCATTAGGTAACTGGAAATACTAAAGGTAACATATTTCTAGTGAGAAGAAAACTGTTGCCCACTCATCAAGGATAAGAAAATTCCATAGTACTATCAATGCATAATTCAAAGCTTCCAATAAATTTATTACCTGATTACATGGAATTAAGCAGTTCTATATAAATTGATCCAAAATTTATCTATAAGTACCCTCTGTGTACCAACAGGTCTTCACATCCTCCTTACTACTAGGAACTATTTTTTTAGCTGATTCAGATATTTTGGTAGCTTTGTAATGTTCTTCCCAATAGCAGATTACTGAGAGCCATTTGCTATGATCATCTTACAAATGAACTGACTACAAGTGACCCAATTTGATCTCAGAATTAAACATGCTCTCCCATAAAATTGATGTCTTTTTCCTCTTATATGGAGATACAATTTGGGACAGCTGAAGGCCAACAACTGTATAACAGCTCACATTTTTGTGTAGCAATAGCAGCAGTAGCAACAGAAGTCAAAAAGAAGCTAAGGGGAAAGCTTAATGCCCATATATAACCTTGGAACACAGTTTTTCAGCTTAAAAAGAAATACTTAATAGAAGATTTTGAGTGACTACTTCTTGATGGAGAGTAATTTCTCCCACCCATCATACTAAAATTACTTTCATATGCATGTGTCTTCTATTGGAAAAATAAATGAAAATTTCTGCAACTGATATTTTTCTAGATATTAGTCAATTTCCTGAAACAGATAATGAGAGCTTTAAGAAAACAATCTTTAATAGTAGACTTTATCTAGTCCTAAATTTAGAGAATGCAAATACTGATGGGCATTATGAGTATTCTGTGCCAACAACCTCACACTTGGCCAATCAACAACAGTCCTTAAAAGTACATGATGTGGATTTTGGCATGTTCTAATGCTTCCAGGTCCTACGTGCAGTCTCAGATCTATCTTTGCTATTTCCTGAGCCAGTAATGATGGCTGGTCTTGCTTAGTGTCAATGGGCATTACATTGAAACATAGTTTGCGTTGTCATTTCTGAAAATTGTACACTAGACAAAATCATTTCTAAAAATTGTACAATAGACAAAATCAGGTTTGTTTCAATATATGCCCTGAGGTGTTTTTTTTTAATTGTAGTTATAGATGGACAGAATGCCTTTATTTTATTTATTTTTATTTGGTACTTAGGATTGAATCCAGTGCCTCATGCATGCTAGCTCATGCATACTAGGCAAGTGCTCTGCCATTGAGCTACAGCCCCAGCTCCCCAGAGTAGATTTAAAATTGAACCTGTGAGGGAGGGTGTAACTCAGTGGGAGAGTGATTGCCTACATGCTTGAAGCCATGGGTTGGATCCCCAACACTGCAAAAAAGAAAGGGAAGGGAAGAGGAAAAAGAAGGAGAAAAGAAGGAAAAACTTGCATCTGTTAAGCTTTTTGCCTTGTTTGATAAGAAGAAAGTTTCATGTCTTGGTTCTTTGGTGCATAAGGAAGGCCCTTGGTATTCGCATTTGTAGGAATCCCTGTGAAAGGGATCCCTGTCTACAATGAACTGCATAGACATCATTATAACTGGCTTCACATCTGGCACTAAACAGTCATAAATGCTAATGAATAAAGGACACAATCATTCTTCATTTTTGACATGGGGGAAGGGAAGCAAAGGGAAAAATAGAAGCTCTGAGTTCCACAGGAGATTCCACGAAGAGCATCCATGTGAGCTTGAACCCAGATCTCTCTAATTAGAAAGGCAAAGGACCTCACAAACTACATGAAGCAAAACTTTGCACTGCAGATTTGCCAACACATTTTTTAAGAGAGAGAGAGAGAGAGAGAGAGAGAGAGAGAGAGAGAGAGAGAGAGAATTCTTTTTTAATATTTGTTTTTTTAGTTTTCAGCAGACACAACATCTTTGTTTGTACGTGGTGCTGAGGATCAAACCCGGGCTGTACGCATGCCAGGCAAGTGCGCTACCGCTTGAGCCACATCCCCAGCCCAAAAGTTTCTTAATATTCTTCAAAAGATAAGTCAATTCATATAGGGCTATTATAAATAAAGCACAAATAATTTAGTTTCAGAGGAAGAGGACTAGGATTAATCCCAGGGGCACTTTACTATTGAATTACATCTCCAGACTTTATATTATATTTTGAGAAAGGGTCTCACTAAGTTGCTCAGGTTGGTTTTGCACTTATGATCCTCCTGCCTAAGCCTCCTGAGTCATTGGTATTACAAGCATGTGCTACTGCACCCAGCTATTCTTTATTTTTGAGACAAAATTTTAAACATTCCACATAGGAGTGTGGTAATGTGATATTTCTCTTAATGTAATGTCCTTGCAATACTCTTGCCTCAGCCTCCCGAGTTACTTGGATTATAGGTGTGTACCATCATGCCTGGTTAAATAATTCTATTTTCTATATAAAGTAATGTTATTAACCAAAGTGTAGGGCTGGAGAGGAGGATTATGATGGGGGGTGGATAAACAGGAGGTAAGAGTCCAAAGAACAGCCCCTCCAATTTATATCAGCTCTGGGCAATTTAGGATGTCTTTTATTCATCCCTCACCCAGTTTTTTTTGTATTATGAAACAAAACCACACAGATAAGCACAAACCAAGGCCAATCTACTAGTCTTTTCTGCCTTTAATATATACAGCATAAACAGAAATAGGAAGACATAACAGGAAAAGACCAACTGTGCTTTCAAACCATTTCTACTTCCCAGACCTAAAGGAAGTTTTGTTTCAATATTGCAACTGCTATTGTCCTGGAGGGGGATGCAAAGGAATGGCATGCAGAGACTCAAAATTCAAACACGTCAACTTTAAATGGAATACTTTTTGGTATAATGATTCTTCAATAAAGCTGAATTCATTTGGCCACACTAAGAAAACAAAACAAAGATCCCCTACTAAGCCACAGCAAGTAAAAATAAAGGGGCAAATCATTAAAAAGTTGATCTCTGAATGATATCTGTGTATCAATTGCAACATTCCAGATATAGATATAAAGATATACATACACACACACACATATATCCACACATATATGTGTATATATTGTTAATTACCTCTCTTCTCTTAAATAATAAGCCAAGCTGTAAGACAGAATGCATAGATAGTACCTTGAGGGGTTTTTGTTTTTAGTTTGGATTTTTCTTGAATGAAACTTTTTAAATTGCTAACATAAAAAAAAAAATTCTAACAGATTTTTTTCCTTACAGACTCTGCTACAGACTTTATGACATATCCAGGTAAGGAAAATGGGATCTAGTCCAACAGGTTACATTTGCCAGTAAGTAATCTCTCCAAGTCTTATTTCAGTAACAATCAATCTGAACCAAGATTGAAAGTGAAAATGTGACATGAAAGGTAAAGGAAGGAAAGGCAGTCATGAATGATATGCCAAGTGGGAGAAATGATAGTTAAAATCTGACCCACAAATACAGCCAAAAAAGTCACAATAACACTAAAGTGATTTAAATACATAAGTCTATATACGTGGAGGAAAGCCAGTATATTGCCCTACCTTTACCATTCCAGAATGCTTTGGATTTCAATACTGTTTCTCCACTTTATAGACTGTGACCCACTTTCATGAGAGACATATTAACTGAAGAACACCACTATCTGTTAGATATTTCATTAGCAAGTATTCTTACCTCAGAAAACGAACATTAACCAAACACCAAGCCCCATCCAGCATTTATTGCTTTGAAAATTAAGCTTGTAGTTTATTGTCTACATTTTATACTTAATGAGAGAATAAAGCGCATACATTTAATTCTGAGAGATACCTGAATTAGAAGCCAATAGACAGCACCAGAATAATCTTTTGTTTCCACATAATATATTCCTCAATGCCTTTCTGGAATGACTACAGACAGAAAGTCAATTCTTAAAATGTCATGCATAGTTTGTAATTATAGTTAGAATATATAACGAAAAATGAAATATATATTTATGCATTTATATGTATAGCCATCCAAGTGTTATTAAACAATGATTAAGCTTTGATTTGGATATATACTGACTATAGCTAATCTCTTCATACAATCATGGCTGCCTGCCAGACCACCATGTTCTAGGAATAGATACTTCTTCTCAAGAAATTTTTCTTCAGGCAATTAGCTAATATTTTTGAACTTATAGCCTTTAAACCTCTGCCTGTTAGGGATTTGGTAGAAATATGAAGAACTAATGCTTTCTGATATTTGTCAAAAGTTTTCATTTAAATTATATTGCTGTACACTCAATTAGGAGGCAAAAGATATATATTTTAAAGGTTTCCTATCTTCTCATTTGTAAATGTTTGCTCCCAGGTGTTTATTCACTAGCGAATGTAACCAACTCTAAGTAGGCCTTTAACATTTCATTGTCCACTGAGAATATACTGGTCATTGAAGTGTAACAAAATTTCACTGGTCTCCCAACATTTTCTCAGTGGTAGGCTAAAACCTCATTTTTATTTTGGATACTTTCCAATATAGCTAGAATGCAAGTGCTTTGTCTAAAGATATCCCCAGTTAAAGGCACAGATGCCCTCTGAATGCTCACAAAACCTACACATTTTTGACCAAATAGAAGTTGCCAGCAACTTACCAGAATTTCTCTTTGATACCATCTTCAAATTTGTGCTGAATACAGAATAGACCACAAGGACCAAAATAAATGGTGGCTTCATTGTTCACTTTGTTGTGCCTGAAAAGTCAAAAGAAAAGGAAAAAAGGAGATGAGTTTAAACCAAATAACTTGTCCTCAACAACACACCATCTAAAGGTTGAGCATCCCTAATCTGAAAATCCCAAACCTAAAATGACATTAGGTATATAAAGGCTATGCACATTTGCATATCCAAAATCTGAAACACTTCTGGTCCAGGCATTTAGAGATTCTCAACTTTCTAATTTTACATTTCTCAAAGACACATTATAAAATAATGGTAATCTAGTGACATCTGGCTCCATTTTATGCAAATGAAAGAAAACTTGAAGGTTCATATTTAATCATATCAGAGTTCCGTACTAAAACTTCAATACTATGCATTAGATTTAGAATAAAATCCAAACTCTCCCCAGTAGACTTTCTCCCCAGTAGATGCAACTCCAAGCTGCATCTTTTTATCTTTTTTTCACAAGACTGTTCTTGTTGTCTATGACCCAAGTCACTATGGTCATTTTATTTGTCATTTCCTTCTCATGGCCTTTGTACTTTATCCTGCTTTTGGAGGTCTTTATGGAGTTAGTTCCTTAACATGCTACATGCCTCATTCTCACCAAAAGGCTTTTCCCAACTACCCAATCTTAACTCTGTTATTCTTTAGCTTACCTCTTTATTTATTTTATCCATAAGATTTATCAACACTTATAATCATTTTGTTTATGTAAAAGGAAGTGATTCTACTCAACTTTGACACTGGCATTTTTAAATGGACAGCACTATATCTTACATCATTGAGATGAAACTGTTACAAAACAAAAAAAAAATTATTGAAAAAAAAGTATGAAACAGAAGTGAGATATAATGATGTCTCCCCATCCTATAACAGGGAAACAACATTATCAGTAGGTATTTGGTAAAAAAAAAAATGAAAACTATTTTAACATTATTGTCCCCATTAAGATTTTTTTTAGCAAATTGGCTACCTATATGGTAGCTCATCTAGGGTCTTTTAATAATTAGAATATAAGCCCTGCAGTGGTATATTTGGCTCATCATAAACCCAAGATATAAAATAGCAAAGGGGTCTATGAGGGTGAAAGCATAGGATCTTTGAAATAATGAATAGAATAAAACCTGAAAGATAAGAATAGCCTTGAGATAATATTTTAAAGATCTAGAATTCTGTATGATGATTTCTTTTTTTTTCAATCATTGATTTGTTCCTAAAAGTACAAAACCTTACCCAGAATATAAGAGTAACAGGGTGATACTGAGTGCTGAGTGGGTTACTCTTTTCCCAGAAATGGCCTCAAAGATTTGCCTGATATCCCAAAATCAGAAAATTTCCAGAGATTGGTGTCTGAGGCCACCAGCTCAACAAACCAATGCAGCTAAATTCTTATCAATACCCACTCACGTCATCAATAAACAAAGAGGACTGGGAAGGAGAATGAGGTCACATTTTGATGTGGAAGACAGGCTTTTCCTTTCTCAATTGACCCTGTGCTTACCATCAGATATTCTGGACTTCTCCCAGCACCACTAGGGAAGGATAAAGAACCCTGGGGATGCATAGTGTGTTTGATATGGCCAAATGACAAGAGAGCCAGGACTAATCTTCACCTATTTCCAACACACAGCAAATTTCAATTTCTCAAGAGGAACTGGAGATGAATTTGGCATCCAAAAGTCCAAGTTAGACTAGATAGATAGATCATTCTTGTGGGATGCTTTGCAACATGGGGAACATAAAGGTATACAAGAGGAAAGTGACATGAAAGCACAAGCTAAACATCTAACTGAATATGTAATCAAAATTTACAAGGGTTGCCAGGTATGGCAATGCATGCCTATAATCCCAGCGGCTTGAGGTGGAGGATCACAAAATCAAAGCCAGCATCAGCAACTTATCAAGGCCCTAAGCAATTTAGTGAGATCCCATCTCCAAATAAAAAATAAAAATAAAAGGGCTGGGAATGTGGCTCAGTGGTTAAGCACCCTGGGTTTAATCCCTAGTACTAAAAAAAAAAAAAAGCAAGGGTCTTCCAATGCCCAAAGGACATACTTGGGGACCTTTTCATTAGCAGGTATTACAAGAAGTACCTATTTATATAGTGCCTATAGACAGCTAAAAGAGCAATTATGACCAACCAAAGACACAGAGTGATAAATGTCTTGTCTTTTCTCTATATCTCCTCCCCAGCAATCCTCCTCCCAAGACAATAATACAAAAGGCACAGGTAAAAGAGGAAGAAGAAGGGGGTGAATGAAAGCCTACCAGGTACCCCCAAACTCCTAGACTAGAGCCATGTCTCATCTGTTTGAAGAAAAACAGATGATATTTGAATCAGGTAAGAGTTTGAAGTTAGTAAAGACAAAATCAAAATGAGACTCTTAAAATATCTAAAAGCATTTGAAAAGTTATAGAATCAGACTTAAATGTTTATCATTATCCTTTGTTTCCCAGTGAGAAAAAATAGGTAAGTGGTAATTAGTGGCGGGGGGGGGGTGCAATTTCATGTTCATACTCCAATAAGTTGAAACACTTCACAATAAAGTTTCTTTTACTAGCCTTTGTCACTCCTTGCCCTTTATAATGTAAGCTTTACAAGGGCAGCCATTTAGTCATTAACTATTGAATCTTTAGCACAGTCTGAAACATAATTGATAATAAATGCTTAATGAATTAAAGAACAGGACCAACATATATTACATTATATCAAGTGAAAAGTTCAAGTAATACAAATGAATGGAAATTTTTAGTGTTTTCTTTTTAAATTATTCATTTATTTGAAAGAGAACACACTTTATCTAATACATAATTCTCCAAATCTGAGCTGTGTCTTGTCACCTGTTGTCATGAACACTGTTGGTTCCCTAATGCATGTCCTCTTGGCTCACCCTAAAATTATCCCAGAAGTCTTCTTATGTTTCTTTGCCAGAAGGAACTTTCTATCTGCAAAAACAGCTTATCTAGCATAAGGGGTAGAATGGAAGTGCCATATTATTAACATGTCATGAATGATTCTTAGTCAATTATAGAAGTTGGTGAATGAATACTCCAGCTCACTCAACCCTTGGTATGTTCCAGTAGGATTGAGTACAACCTGCTCCTTAAAAACCCTTTATTTGCACTTCCTTCCTTCCAGTCTGACTGTGCCACTCATCATCTTCCAAATAAACTATCCACATCCAAATCTTTGACTCATGGGGCTGGGGTTGTGGCTCAGTGGTAGAACACTTGCCTGGCATGTATGAGGCACTGGGTTCGATTCTCAGTGCCCCATATAAATAAATGAATAAAATAAAGGTTCATCAACAACTAAAAATTACATATATTAAAAAAAATCCTTGTCTCAGAGTCTGCTTTTTGGCAAATCCAAATCAAAACTCTGAAAAAAACAAGTACTTCACACAATTCTTTATTTTCCATAGACCTTATCTACCAAATTTCCAGCTCAGAAGATTATGTATACTTCAATCCAAAGTACCTCTGTTCTTCTCTAACCCTACCACTTATTGTGAATTAGCATCTACATATCAGAGAAAACATTTGGCCTTTGATTTTTGGGATTGGCTTATTTCACTAAGCATGATAGTCTTCAGTTCCACCCATTTACCAGCAAATGCCATAAATTCATTCTTCTTTATTGTGTATTGAAGGGCAAGGTGGGGAATGGGAATAGCAATGATAGTAGAATAAATCATACATTACTATCCTATGTGCATATATAATTACAGGACAAATATAATTCTACATCATGTCCAACCAGAAGAATGAGAATTTTATACTCCAAATATGTATAATATGTCAAAAATACATTCTACTATCATGTATAATGAATTAGAACAAATAAAAAAGAAAAAAAGATATATACACACTCTATAGACTTTTGAAAGAAGGCTTATTACTCAAACTTTTCCTAAAGTACATGCTCATACTAAATTGTATTTACCCAGTGATTAGTATGTGATCATTTTCAGTTATAATACAAGCTACACTTAATAGCTGATATTCACAGATATAACATATTAGAAAATAATAGAACCAGAAATATCTCTACCTTTTTATATAACTGACCCTCCCTATTCCTTGCAAAATAAAATATTTAATGTTTGACATTGACTACAGGAATCATCATTGAAACTGAATAAGTTAATCACAGAATTATTTAATTATCACTTAAGATCAGTGGCAATTAGAAAACCTGGCCATATGAACTTTTTAAGTCCATATATTTATCCATCTCATTTCCATAGGTGAGTCAATTAATTCAACAAATTTTGCTGAACTGTATTTTATGATAATAATATAATTTGGTGATTATTTTGTTTGTGCTCAATACTGTGGTAAACCAATATATGGCAATATATCCTCTCAACAATCTTAGGAGTTGTTATTAGCCCTACTATTCTTTTTGAGGAACTGACACTTGTGACTTACCAAGGTCATGAGTTAGTAAACTATAGAAAAAAGCATTTGACTCTAGGTCTGTATGACTACAAAGTCTAATCACTCAACCACAACTAAATTATTTTTCCCTAGAATTTAGATGCTATAGGAGTCATGAGCCAAGTCTGACATTATAAAATGTAGCTCCTTGCCTACAAGGAGCTATGACCCAACTGCAGAGATGTGTGCTTAGTGGAATGCTTATTCAAATGTAAGACAATGAAGAACAACCTGCATATGTTAAATGGTAAGGGAATATAAAATAGTGTTTTGTAGCATGTTCAATAGATGATTCAGATTTCCCATTGAAAGAGAAAATCTGCTAAACTGTCAATTCACTCAAAGAGAAAGGCCAACGTAATCAATCTCCTAGCAGTGTTCATCTGCAACAGCAGTCAGCCTGCAATATCATCATTGATCAAGGAATGTCTCAGGACTGTGACCACTGGGCTCCTAACATACGGTTGTACACATCTGTTTAAATACTAAAAGTGTCAGAATCAGCTAAAGCTATCCCCTGGAAATCTTACACTGAAATTTAGGTTTATTACATTATAACTTTTCCTCTTGGTGGTTTTACAACCAA